CATTGTGGTTAAACCCCCAAATACATCTGCTGCAGCGCTGGGCACCCTCACCAACACAAAGAGTAAGAGGCGCATGTGCGCTATGACAATACGCGATTATATTCTCAATCTCATTTTGTCCATCTGTACCTCCCTGCCAGATCTGCCTGAGCTCCTGCGCCCCCTGAGCTCAATAAGCGTGTCCAAAACGCCTCCGACACTCGTGGTCACAGAGGTGTAAAAGGTAGGATGCTTGTAAAACAGGGACCTGAGCAGAGACGTGCCTGTCTATAACTTCGGGACTTCGCTGCTTGCTCGCTTGGGATCTACTGGTTCTCTCACAGTTTGGGGGGGGTTATTGGCGTGATCGCACAACCACGGCTTTTCGATTTCCAAAAACGACAGAAAAACACGCCTATCTTCATTTACAACCCCGGCGCTCCAGATACGACACCGTTGCAACGACCCACGTGTTTCCAGAAACGTTTATATTTTTTCTTCAAACCCGCCGCCCCGCCCCGCCCCATCCCAAGCTTTGCCACCCCGGTTGGAAGTTTTTGGGGTTCGAGTAAAAAACGTCACTACTTTCCCCGTTTCCCAAAGCCGTCGTGCGAAAGAGAAAAAAAAAAACACGCAAAACACGTCGATCGCGACCTTCATCTCGACAAAACGGATCCGACCCACTGATGATAAATCTACAAAGCTGTATATGCACAGCAGAAAGATACAGCTCCTATTAGACTACAAGGAAGGGATATTGTGAGTTGTGAGTTGTGGATGTAATAATGTAATGTAATGTGGATGTAATAACCAATTTTTGAGATCCCTGTTAAAAAAATGATAATTTACTTGCGACTACAATATATTGGAATATATTGATTGGAGAAAAATTCGGATGATGCCCAATAAATATTGTATAACCAATAAAACTAAGGAGGGTTCATACAAAATCATTCATCGAATTTACCCAGTCTAAACTCCTGTTACCCGACGATTTAAAATTAATATAGATGACAAATGTGTTTTTTTTGTGACAATAGCCCTGAAACTATTCAGCATTTGTTTTGGTTCAGTCCCAGGGTAAAAATATTCTGGAGTTAAGTTGCAGAATTATATTAAAAAAGAGACCGATTTTGATATTTGTTTTGCTGAAAAAGATATTATGTTAAGTTTCAGCCCCAGTGAAAACAATATACAAATTTCGTTTGTAATAAATTGTATTATTATACTGGCACGTTATCACATACATAAAATGAAGCGGTCTGGGAGGTACCCTGTGTTGGAGTATTTTAAAATGGAAGTAAAGGGGTATTTAAATTCCCAGTCTCTCTCACTCTCACTCTCACCTCACCTCTCACCTATGATCTGAACCTCACAGTGCCTTCTTCCTTTCTTTCTTACCAAAAACCCAAACACACATTGAAAATCTACCTCTACCACACATGTCAAAAGCTCAGTCCCCATCATTTCTATCCCTTTATTTCATTCTGTTGATGCATATTTTTTGCACACTGCCTGTTGTCTCTGTCTTTCTTTTGCTACACAATTGTATTGTTGTTGTTTTTTCTCTTTGTACTACTTATGTCCGAGAGCTAGCTAAATAGCATTTCGTTAAACCATATACCACGTATATGAGTGTAATGACAATAAACTTGAACTTGAACTTGATTTGCAGACTATTTCGAAATGCAAAAATATGAAAGCGGTGCGGACATTATTTTTATTTAATTTGCTTAATCTTTTTTCATAACTTGAATTGATGTCGTAGTATGTACCCCCGACGATATTTTTGTTTTGAATTGTTATATGCACTCTTGTTTGCATTGTAATGTTCGTTCTTTTGTTAAGCATAAATAAAAAAAAATAATAATACAGAGCAGAAATATTCAAATATCGACCTTACTTGTAAAGAAAACGGGCGTTCATCTTTAATCCCACTGAAAATGGCACGAAAGTACCCTTCGTCACTGACCCAAGTCACTGTTACCTGCACGTTATGCACGTAAAGAGTGAAATGCTCGTTTTTGAACATTTTAAAATCGACATAACGGAGCTGCGTGTTGAATGATCTCTCTCGATTCAAGTTGCTCTAGTAGT